ATAAATTTACCTTAGAACGTTTTTCGATTTTGAAACAACTTTCATTATTAGAAGACTCTTATCGCACTGAGAATGTTTCTTTGTGTACGTCAGTTTTTGAGTGCTAATTTTAAAGAGATTAGACGATTTCGTAAATAAGGTCGAATCTCTTTAAATTGCACTCAAAACCTGACGTAAAGAATCTTCTGATAATGTTTTGTTATCAAGAATAGTAAAAATTCAAAAAACGTTTTGTTTATGTTCGCTTTGAGATTAAATTAATATTTTGTTTACTTTTTTATATAAATTTATTAAAGTTAAATTAAATTCACCAAGTTTTCAATTTAAGAAAGTTTCGTATTGAAAAATTATTTTCAAATGATATCATAAAATCTAAAAATGAAATCACAATTGAGAAAACAAAAAAAAAGTATCAAAGCTTTCAAAATCGCGTTTGTCTGATCGGGTGTAGTGACGCAATTTCTTCATCCACTTAGAAAACTTTACACGAAATGTAACAAGCTTTTTCCCGTCCATTATCTTTTATCTCTTTTGTCGTCTTCTTTTTCGAGCTATCGTGTCACAGGAGAAAAGAAACTCGCTTCATATCGTTTGACTCTCGGTTGAGCTGCTACAATATTGTGAGAAAAATCACATGAAGAAAAAAAGTTTTTTTTCGGAAGGAAAAAAAGGGAAAATAAAGAGCGAGGAATTCAACCATAAACGACTTCGTTTCCCAAGAATTGTCTGATTTATATACACAATTTAATTCTTTCTTTCGCTTTCTTTTCTTCTGCAAAGCAACAAAAAAATTCGACTGCACAAAAAGTGAATCGTTTTTTTATGTATTTACTCATACCAATTGAATGTTGGACGTTTGAACCTTCTGCCGTCTTCGTCACCTCAACTACTCTCATTGCAATATAAGCGAACGAGTCAAAACAGAAAATCACGACAAAACTTATCGTTGCCTTTCTAATGAAAACGGAAAAAAGAACTTTTCTTTTAATGTTCTCCAACAATTTAAATTTTTTTTTTCAGCGTAAATATCTTTCATTGAGGCAAGGAAGGAGACAAAGTTTATTGACCATTTAAAACTACAAATGTATCTGTAGCTTGCGTTGTATTTCTTTTGAGTTGGGTCTCGGAGACGAGGACACCAAATTGATCTATAAATTTACATTGGCAATCAATGATGTGCAGTAGAGAGAAAAAGAAACTGAAAATGATAAAAAATGATGAAGGGAAAAACGAAGAATAAAAAAAACTTTTAAATTAATGACAAGAACGAGAAGCTGATAAAATCGAACAAAACTTTTTATTCTTTGACGCGGAGACAATGTCAGAAGCTTCAAAAGTAAGCTATAATCTAAGTGATATTAAAATGGGGGATAGAAATCGTAAAATTGTTGAAAATTTCCTTGTTGCATCTTGAAGTTCGTAGTGTTATGTTTATGACCTTTTTTCTTGTTCTTACTAAAAGGATAACTTTTTCAGAAGCTCTTGAAAGTGTTGAATAAGATATTTATTTATTTAATTGATTCTAAAAGATTGAAATGGAAAGTTTATGAAGGGATTAAAATGCAAAAAGATTTTCCAACACTGTTGCCAACAACATTTTTATCTCCATTATTCCAGACAAAATTTAAGACTTTTAGTTTAAACTTTAAAGTACAAAGCAAATGATGTCATTTCATTGATACAAAATACAATCCACTCTTTTTCCTTCGTTAACTTCTCAGCTAGAAAGCAGACGG